GTCGCACAAACCCTTATGGAAATATATTTTTTGGGTCGTACATTGTATTTCATGCACTGATCGCTTGCCATGTCTGTCTAGGCACCTTCTCACATATGGTCGATTAGGCCGGTCTATTGTGTCTTGCAGGTCTTACTGTAAATATACTGATAACAAATATAACTCATATATATTTCTTAATTTCTGAATTATTGCAATGATATCTACTAGAACGCGATAGTTTTACTTTCTCAATTATTTCCGAAACATTTCCTTGCTTTTAATTGCTAAAAAATAATATATCGTATGCGATTTTCTCGGCAAAAGTTTCTACCACACATTATTACCCTTTCCAAACACTAAGATATTCATGACGTATTTAATTAATGAAATAAGGTACTTGGTGTAATTATGAACATAAGTAGGCCATACGGAATGCACATAAACGAAATACACGCCAAGGACATGTATAAAAAGCGAAATGTAAAAGAATATAATTTCGACTCATTTCAGACAGTAGCTTATAAGACAAAAGATCTTGAGTGGGCCGTGCATTTATGATTTGTGCCAGTTGTTTCCCGCAGTTCGTTCATTAAATAGGAATACAATGCATTGTGGGAAGCAACTGGGGATTTACTGTCCCTTGATTTTTATGAGGCGTATGCACCTCCGAGGTTGGGCAGGTGCCTTGCATGGTTCTTCGAGTCCCGTTTCCGCCTCGCCCATTTAGAGTCCCGAATAATTGACTATATAATTAGACTTTGTACATATACTTTAGTGGACCCTAATAAAGACAATAATAATAAAAGATTCGCTCTGACTGCAAATTTCGCTAGTGGAATATAGGGGGTAGATATATTAATATTCCGCTTATTGTGTAAATGAAATGCTCTCACTTTTGTTTATCAATTGTTTTAAAAATAAGGGATTCCTTTTCCAGCATGTCTCGTGTTCAATACCAACGAAAAAAACGACTAATTACTAATTGTTAAGCATGACTACACCAAAAATATGAAGCATACAATATTAACGTCTAGATAGATAGAAACTTTATTTATACACGCTGACCCCGTCAACCGAAACTGATTTCCACGGGGGGCGTGTGCAAAAATAGAAAATGTGACATGGAGATATAAAAGAGTTAAATTTAAAAAGGTAGAATATTAAATTATTTACATGATAAGGTTATTAGAATATTTACAGTTACATCAATTTACTTATTAATCTATGTCAATTTTGTTAGCAGCGATTTTATTTCTAAAGGAAGAAAGAGTTTTGCTCTCCATAATTTCCTTTGGAATTGAAATCCAAAAGTGTGCTCCGTCATACATGAAACTATTTTTCATGTTGTTAGCACGCGGTTTTGGTAAACTAAGACCGCTTGAAATGTCCCGAAGGTTGTAGTTTGTTTTCTCACATTTGCATGAAAAAAGATTAGTGAGTGAGATTTAGGACCCATTTTATTTAATACTTTGTACATCATTTTTGCCTTTGTTTTCTTCCTTTCTGTTTTGAGTGGCTCCCAGGCCAATGCACGTAGAGCAATGGAATGATTTGCGTCATTGCTCATGTTCAAGATAATTCTAGCAGCTCTATTTTGAAGTTTTTGGAGTCGTTTTGATTGTGATTCACCAAACACAACCCATACTTCACAAAAGTGATCAAAGTATGGGCGAACAATAATAGCATTATGTATCGAAATGAGTGTATCTTTGTTTATCGAAAGGTTTGACTCGACGAAGAGCAGAGATTCCTGCAGTTATTCTTTTGCAAATATTTTCGGAATTACTTTTCCAAGACAAATGCTGGTCAACTATTACTCCAAGAGTTTTGCATTCGCTAACTTGTTTAATTTGCTTATTTTCAATGAAAACATTCAAACGTGATCAGAATTTTTTTTTAATCATTGCATGCCTTTGAACCAATTAACATAAATTCTGTCTTAGCTACATTTAGGCTAAGTTTATGGGCAATTAACCATTTTCTGAGGAATATTTTTTTTCCAAATCTTCCACATATCATTTGGGTCTTCAGCAAAAAAATACACTTGTTCCCAGTGCTGTTTGAGCAGTTCGGCAACAAATTTTTCTTCATTAAAATTTTTCATGTTTCTCATCTCCACTATATTCTCTTGTTTCTTTATAACAGAAATTTTCCTGATAGCAAATATTATGAAACTATGATCACTTATACCTGTGTGAATGACACCAGAATCAGAAAGTTTTTCTGGTGTATTAGTAACCATATGATCAATTAGACTATAGTAGTTGTCATAGTTACTCGAGTAGCTTCATCTATCAGTTGTGATAACTGATATAATTCGTACAAAGACTTTATTTTCTTTGTTGGTATGTTATAATCTTTATCTGGTCTTAGCAAATCACAGTTTAGATCACCCAGAATGTACATTTCCTTATTTTCATTATCTATAGCTTTGATCAGTTTTTCAAAATGATCAAAGTATTCTGATAATGCACTGGGTGGTCGGTAAACTGTCGTAACAACAAAAGGTTTGCTATGTGGCTTAATAATTTCAACACAAACAGCTTCCAGTTCAAAAGGAACTAGATCATCTCTTATTTTGTAGTTGATGGAGCTACGCAAGTAAATACAAACTCCACTACCATTCCTTGATCTATCTTTTCTGACAATATCATAACCATATAGGTTAATCATATTATCTGTTATATTCGCATCAAGTCGTGTCTCATTATTTTTATCACACAGAATAGTGCATTTTATCACACAGAATAGTGCAAATGTTTTTAGCCAACAAAGAGATTAATATTGTGTGCATGCATGCATGTTTTTGCTGTATAGTCATGGCTGTCATGCTTTGTGTAGTCGAATTTCTGTGGTCAACTTTCTCAAGTTGGATGGGATAAAAAATCATATAGATAGTGCATACATTCAAGTTATTCTCCATGTTGGTCGCTTTTGCCACACTATATTCTCCACCGTAAATTCTCTGAGTAAGGCTTTGGCATTTTGAGTTTGACCAAATAAATCCAAATAGCTTCACTCCTACGAAATTTTTCAAGCAGTTGCATAATTAATCAGATGAAGTCATGTGATGGATATATCTGGTCACATGTCATGTATATTTCTATAAGTATATATATATATATATATATATATATATATATATATATATATATATATATATATATATATATATATATATATATATATATATATATATATATATTACAAGTAATCTTAAATAAAAATTTAAATTTTTTTTTGAAAGAATTCGATAAATTTACTTCGACTCCAGCGTTCGGTTAAAACATTCAATCCCATACACAATTGGGCTATTTTTAAATCGTTCAGTTCGATATCCAAAATTATACAGTTTTTCTCCATTTGATCTAGTTTGTCTCTGTCTTATCTGATTAACTGTTTCTGGCAATAAACTGTGTAATCTATGTCTAGGGTCTATCATTGTTTTTATAAGGTTTCCGCACATCTCTTCTCTGCGAATCTTTAATGTTTTAAGGTTACAGTCCAGTAATGCTTCTTCATAAGTCAGTCCAGGACAAATTATCCTAAGCGCACGCTTCTGAACTCGTTCTATGTCAGTAGACTGTTCCTTGGTTAAGTTTCCATGCCAAATTTGAGCACAATTTTCAAGTGTCGATCTTATGACAGCTATATAAAAGGCTTTTAAATCCTGCTTTGGTGCATTATAACCTTTTAACAATATAGCATGTGTTAGTTGACCACTTCAAATTGTCATCAATCCATAAACCAAGTAATTTGTAACATTTAACCCTTTCAAATACATGACTATTGATTTCTAGCGGTGGAATAACAGTTACATTTTTTCGAAAGTCAATTATCATTTCTTTACATTTCGTTTGATTTAACTCCATCATATCTTCTTCAGTAAACCTTAAAACGCTCTTAACTTTACTTTCAGCACCACCCAGTTGCTTCCCAGAAATATAGTGGCTGACATCTAGTAGCCTACCTCGTATAATGTAGTGTCATCCATAAACATTAATGTTTCATGTTCAAGTATAACATTAGTTTCCATGTTGGTTGATATCATGAGTTGAATTTCCTCTTTTATTACAGAGGGAAGTTTATCAATCTTTATTACAAAGGCAATTGGTCCGAGTTTACTTCCTTGTGGCACTCCGCCATTGATATATGCATAATCAGACATATCATTCTCAAATTTAGTAAAATGGGATCTTTTGTTGAGGTATGTTCCAAACCATTGGATTAAGGCCAATCTAACTCCCATCTCTTTCATATTTCTTAGCAGTATATTATGATTAATTAGATCGAACGCTTTTTTAAAGTCAAGAAAAATTATTCGTATTACTCTTTGTGGCTCGTCCATTGCTCTATACCAGTTGTGGAGTAGATTTAGGGCATACAAAGTCGAAGATCCTGGGAGCCCTCCATATTGGGAATTGGAAATTTTCCCATTTATATCTTCATTAATCCACTTGTTGGTAAAGGATTCCTGAACTTTTGATAAAACACTGGTTAATGCAATCGGTTCTAAGGTTTTCAGCGATTGTACATGGTGTGATCTTAGGAATCCCAATTACTTTGTATTTTTTCAGGAAATTTCTTTGTCTGAAATGACTCATTAAAAATCTCAGCAAGGGGAACGGCAAACACATTCGAAAACATTTTCAGAATCTTCAAAGGTGGATTATTTGGCCCAGGTGCCTTGTTAACATTAATTGCATTCAATTCTCTAGCAATTTCTTCAACACTGATTAACGGTAGATCATCCGGGCATTGCATTTCTAGCCACTCGTTTGATATATGTGGATAATTTGTCGTTAAATTAGCAAAGAAGTTATTAATTAAATCTGCCGATTGTTTATCGTTCATTTGGAGATTTGTCTCGGAGTCTACTAAAGTCACAGCGTTTTTCTTTGATCCAATTATCTTTTAACTTGCTTCCACCATGCTTTTGGGCATGAACTATGGTTTGGTCGTACCTTTTTATCATAAAACTGCAGCTTGGCTTTCTTTATCTCAGCTGAAACTTGTCTACGTAAAGATTTGAAGAGCTCAGTTTTATTGTTTTTAAAAGCTTTATTTCTTTTATCCATCAGAGATTTAATTTTTTGCGTCATAAAGGGTTTATCGTTGGTATGCTTTTTTATTATTCTTTCGGGAAATAACTCGTTGATAATCACTTTAGTAAAATGAAGAAAAGCATCAACTTTCTCATCGAGTCCTTTGTTAGAGAAAAGTTCACTCCAGTCATAGTTCTCTAGAAAAACCCCAAACTGTTCCGTACTTGTATGGTTGAGATCTCTCACTTTTACCTTTACTATGTTTCCAGCCTTTACTATAGAGGCATCAGTTCTCGCTTTCCACAACACAATGTTATGTATGATCTGATGTTGATAGAGGTGCTAAGACCTCAGGATTTATATAGAAATCCGCGATATTTGTAAAAATCAAATCAAGTATATTGTTATTCCGTGTCGGAACCTTGACAACTTGTTTAAGACTGCAGTGTCTATTTAATCGACTCTGTTGAAAGCCGTTACTCGTTGGGTTAAAATCGCCCGAAACAATGAAAGCTGAGTTAGGACTTTCAGTACAGAGTTTGTCATAACAATTATAAAGTAATCATAAAAACTGTCTATCTCGCTATGACTCGGTGGTAGGTATACGCAGCACACCGCAATTTTAGAGATTGCTCTTGGTAACCATTTTGGACGTAATGTAACCCATTGACACTCAAACGAGGGGTCATTCAAGTCCTTGCGAATTTTAAATGGTATTTTGTTATTCACATATAAAGCAACACCCCCTCCTGTACCATACGTTCTATCATTTCTAACCAATGTCATTCCAGAAACAGCCACAGCTTTATCGGGAACGGTTCCCTTTAACCAAGTCTCAGTGATGCAAGCTATGTCTATATCATTAGTAATATCCAATAATTCAAGTGATCTTGCATTTAAAAGCATTACATTTGGGAGAAATTTCCCATTTTTTGATTTATCGTTGTTCTTTTCCAAAGGAATATTAATTAAATTGGATTTACGTGCGTTACTCAGTGGTGCATATTCTTCTAGTAGTAATAGCTGTATCAGTTCTTTCGCTCGTGTTTGTCTTTCAGCCAATCGGTTTGGTGATACGTGGGACGCGATCGAAAAAACTTGTCTCTCTTAGCCCATTTGCTTGTTCCTCTGTTAGCCCTGTTTGCTTTTTAAGGATTTGCTAGGCTTTCTTCTCCACCGATTTGTTGATGAGGTACGTAGAGTGATGCGTTGGGATGGGATAATGTTGGTTATGGTCATGGGTAGGGTCACAAGGATGTATGCTGTCATCACCAGTGCCAGGTTGATTTATAAATGAATTCCCTGAATATTTTCACCTTAACATATTACGAAGAGAACATGTTCACCTTAACATATTACGGAGTGTACAATTACACAACTCAACATATATATATATATATATATATATATATATATATATATATATATATATATATATATATATATATATATATATATATATATATGTATAGATGGATCACGGATCAAAGAACACTTGACAATGGAAAAGCAGACGGTTTATAAACATTTGGATTCCCGCAAGAAATCAAAGTTACCTACAATAAAATGGAAGATTTTACATGCCAATATCGTGAACGACGGGGAGAGGAAATACGTCGAAGAATTTGAAATACAAAAACATTATGGAGACTTAATGAACAGTTGTACTGGTAGAACAATTAGTGTTTGAACTATTTTAATCTATTAACATTGTATAGTACTTTAAACTACGGGACAATAAATCAGTTGCATGTTTGAATTATTTTAATCTATATTAACATTATATAGTGTTTTAAACTACAGGACAATAAATCAATTGCATGTTTTGCATATTTTTATATACATTAGCATACTCATTGTAAATTTAGTATTTTAATTAGTTTTATATAAATAGGAGGAAATATTATTGTAAAAACATTCCACTGAAGAAGCCGTAATAGGCGAAACGTTTGGAAAATATACTTTCTGTAATCTGACTACTGACTACAGAGCAGGAATTAGCAACCTTAAGCTAAGCTACAGCTGTATGCCCAACGTGCACAATATCATCACGGAGCACAACAGAACCGTACTCGATTGCAAGCAGCCCAAGGCTACTAAAAATCCCAATAGGCAGTGTAATTGCCGTTAGGAAGAATCCTGCCCCCTCCCTGGCAAATGTTTAACCGAAAGCGTTGTGTACCAGGCCACAGTAACGAGAGAAGACAACCATCGGAAAGAATTTACCTTGGACACAGAGCAGGCCCATTTAAAGTGAGATACTATATACAACCATACAAGCTCGTTCAGGAACCCGGAACATAAACATTCAACTGAACTGAGTAAATATATTAGGCAGTTGAAACAATCCAACATAGAATACTCTATTCGCTGGAAAATTTTAAAGAAATGTAAGGCCTACTCAAACAAAACAAAACGTTGTAAAGTATGCCTGCACGAAAAGTTTATTATAATTTACTATCCCAAACTAAGCTCATTGAACTCAAGAAACGAACTAATATTGGCATGTAGGCACAGGAAAAAAATTCCTGCTCTGTAGTCAGTAGTCAGATTACAGACATGTATTTACGCTTTCCTAATGACGTCAAACATTTGTATATAATAGCTCAAGTATGGTGGCCGAGAGCTGCCAAGTCCATTTTCAATTTAAAATAATATTAAAAACATTTTACAATGCATTTTAAAATGATTTCAAAATCATTTTTATATAATTCTCGAATAAAAAAGTTTTTAAATTAAAACAAACACTATTCATTTATGTGTTTTAAAAAAAATATTATCCACGTGGCCGAGAAATATTATCCACGTGGCCGTTGCCATTTTTTTAATTTGCGCCTTCGTATCAGCCGGCTAGCGGTATGCGAAAATTCAACATGGCGGGCGTTGAACGTTGGAAAAAGAATCTAACTTTAAACGCGTGTTTAGTTAAGTACGTGGAAGAACGCATGCAGCATACTGAAATTCTCGATTTCATGCAAAGAGACTATGCAAACTACAAGTGGAGTTTACGATCACTTGATCGCAGACTTAAATATTTTGATATCAAATATATTGATGCAAATGTTTGTATTGATGATGCCAGGGAGGCCGTTCGCAAAGAACTTGAAGGACCTGGGAAACTACTAGTAGAATATCGAGCAATGACACAGAAAATACGCCAAAAGTATAAAATAAAAGTTCCAAGGGATTTAGTGCACAATCTGATGTTTGATATCGACCCAGACGGGCTAGCAGCAAGGCTACCTGGCGCAAAAAAGAAGAAACCTAAAGGTCATTTTATAACAATTGGCCCAAATTGGACGTACTCTCTCGACGGCCATGACAAATTAATGGGATTTCAAAATTCCACATTTCCGTTAGCAATTTATGGCTGTGTTGATACCGCCGGCCGTAAATTGATGTGGCTTAAAATATGGACATTAAATTCTAATCCAATCTTCATAGGGAAGTGGTACATAGAAGCATTACTAGAGAGTCGTACTCTGCCGCATTACCTCCGCTTGGATAAAGGCACTGAAACAACCACGATGAGTACAATCCATGCATATCTTCGACACAAGCAAGGAGACCTTAGTGACCCAACAGAGTCTATATTGTTTGGACCTTCACCATCTAATCAAGTTTGTATTCAATCAGATTACCCTGTTGTTCTTAATAATGAAAATAAGACAAATACATTTTTTAAATTGAGATGTGCAATGAATTTTTAGATAGAACGATGGTGGCGGGAGCTACATGATAGACTAGAAAAGTACTTTAAAGTTGGTTTGAATTGGCTGAAGGAGGAATGCCACTATGACCCAAATAATGAAACAGACCGGTATAAAAAATAGAAACTAATGGCATGCACCAAAAAATAGCGTGATTAGAATTGTAGGCAGTTGACATAGAAAATTGTTTTATAAACACTATTATAATTTATATTTACAATGTATAGGTCAATCCTTGCATACATAATGATCCCAGTCATGCAGAGAGAACTCGATGAATTCCGGCATACAACATGGAACACACGCTGCATTAGAGCTCAGAAGGATAATCTTATGGCTGATGGAATCCCTAATCACATTTATGAATTTCCAGATAAATATGGCATGGAAAAGAAAGGTTCTTATTAATTTCATAAAACACTACATATGCAGCGCAACACTACACGTTCAGCAAATTGCAACACTACACGTTCAGCAAATTACGTCTAATAATTAGTAGTTGTGTGCATGTTTCAGTAATACAACATTCTGGAAAGTGAGTTTCATTTTTTGTCACATGCTAAAGAGCATAGCACCTTTTTTTGAACATTTTCAAGATTGGTGACATACCTAGCCTGTGCACATCCTGTATTACCCTGTACTACAGTCTGTGAAAACTCACGCGATTGCTTGTCGAGCTACTCAGATCTGAGTAGTAGACTGTCATTGGCTAAAGATAATTAAATTATTTTGATTGCCTACGATTGGTTAATTTTTCATCACAAGTAAAACCTGTTTTTCCAATCAATACAATAATACATTAAGTTTTAATTTCAATGCGCGAAATTGATTTGTTCTTCAAAATTTCCTATACTTTCTGCTCCAAGGCAAGGTGAATTTTATATATTTTTAATCCTCGAGAAATAAGCTATCGGAAAATGTTTAAATCAAGTTTATACGATCAGAAATTTAGAAGTTAGGAGTCAATTTGGCAGCCGCTTGACTAAAATTTAATTGTTTACAACATGAAAACAACATTACAAATCTTATGTATTAAGCTCATCCAATTTTTGTGTTGTAGAGACTTTGTTTACTTATCTTTCGAAAGAAAATCTTCTAA